TGCATGGACTACAACCGCACGGACCTCACCACGGCCGCCCCGCCCTGGACACCGACACCATGGGCGCCCGGCACTGGCAGCCCGGCTCGCAAGGCGGCGGCGGCCGCGGCTTGCGCGGGGCCTCGGCCGGCGGGGCGGCGGCGGCGGGGGGCGCCTTGGCGGGGCTGCCGGGTTTGGCACCGCGGAGCGGGGGCTTGGCGGGCGGCGGGGCGGCCGTGGTGAGGTCCGTGCGGTTGTAGTCCATGCAGAGCGTGTCCGGGCTGCCCTGCTCCGGGAGGCGGTCGCAGCGCATCCTGTCGGGCCAGGCGAAGCCGTACTGGCGCATGAGCGGGGCGCAGCCGGCCTTGGCCCGCTCGCAGACGCTGCGGCAGGGCGGCAGCGGCTTCTTGTAGTCCTCCAGGCAGATGGGGGTGTACATGCTGCAGAGAAAGAAGCGCAGGTCGCTGGAGCACTGGATTTCCACCAGCGGCCAGAACTGGTGCACTTCCAGCCCGGCCTCGTCCTGCGTGTCGTGGTTGAACTGGTTGGGCATATAGGTGTAGTTGTAGCCGATGCCCTTGCAGAGGGGCACGGTGATCTCCTGGCACGACAGCTCCTTGGCCGAGGAGGAAGAGGAGGACGCGGCGGCGGCGGCCGAGGCGGCGGCGCAGCCGGCGCGCTGCAGCAGGGACAGGGCGGCGAGCAGCGAGGTGATTTCCAACAGGTAACTCCACTCCATGCTCGGCGGCGCGGGGGCGGCGGCCCCGGCTCCTCTCCTGTCCCGCTCAGCAGCCGCGGGGAGCGCGGCGCCACAGCACCCCCCGGCCCCGGCTACCCCTCGGGGGGGCGCAGGGCGGCCCCCTCCGTGCCGCTCGCAGGTGAAGAGGTCTCGCAGCCCCCGCGGGGCTCCGTCGCCCAGCAGGGAAGCGGCCCCGCGGGCACCCGGTGAGCGGGAGCCGCCGGCGATCCCCCGCTCGGCGCCGGATGAAGGGGATCTGCTCACGGGAGGCCCCTCAGGCGCCGCCGCATCGCTCCTCGCGGGGCCGGGTGCCCAGGGGGTGCCGCCGCTCCTCTCGCCGCTACTCCAGCGCCGGCCGGGCACGGGGCAGTGGCGGCGGTGGAGAAGTTTCGCCGTCAGCCCCGACGCGGCGAAGATGGTTGAGGTGTCCCGGGGAGCGAGCGGTGCGCTCCGCGGCGCCGGGCTCCCACCGCCCCGTGCGGGCGGGCAGTGGCAGGGCTGGGGTGGCCGGAGCGGCTCCTTCTGCCGCTCGCCCGAGCGCTCGGCTCCGCGGGCGAGCGCCAGCCGGGCGGTGCTCGCCCTGCGCCTCCTCCGGCTGCCGGAGCCCCGGCCGCGGTCGCGCCACCTGAGCCGCGGGTCGAGCGCAGCGGCGCCTCCGCAACTTCTCGCTCTCCGGCCCCGGCAGCGCCGCTCCGGCCGCCGCGCTCTCATGAATATTTATAGCAAGAGCCGCCTGGCCCCGCCCCCAGCGCCCCAGCCGCCAATCAGCCGCGCTCGGGCGGGCGGTTGGGGGCGGGGCCCAGCGCTCCTTAAGGTGGAGTTGGCGCGGGACCGTGGTGCTGGTGGGCGCTGCTCGGTGCCCTCGGCCGCGGGGGGACGTGGCTGTTGTTCGGCGCGGTCCGGGCGCTGGTCTGTGCGGGGATGTGCCGGTCCGCACCGCGGTGCGCGGGCTGCGACGGCCAGGCACCGGCCCGGTCTGCGCAGGGGACTTCTGCCCCCCTGTAAAGGTTCCCCGCCAAGTCACGGTCCCTGTGCGGCAGTTTAAGCGGCGCTCGGGGCTCCCTCGAGAGGGGTTTTCTGTCACATCGCTGGTACCCGCGGGAGTTCGTCACCCGTGCCAGCGCTGTCCCATCTCGGCTGTCCTGTCTCGCGGGGCTCAAACTGCCTTTGCATCGCCCGTCGCACGTGTTGGTGGCGGAGGTGGGAGCGCGGCGAGGCCGGGAGGGGGCCCGGTGGCACCTCAGTCCGTACCTGTCCGCGCCCCTCGAGCCCCAGAGCATCGCTGCGGATACGGGCACACAGACATGCAGTGCGAACGCAGCGCTGGGTGCCCCCGCCCTGCACATCGGGAGGCAGCGAGCGAGCGGTGACACAGGGACCCCCGAGGCGCAGGAGCCGCGGGTCAGGGGGCGCTCGCCGGGCGGGGCAGCTTCTCGAGCGGGATGGGCACCGACGGTCCGTGTGCGCCCATGGGCCGGCGCCGGGAGCTCCCCGTGGGATGCGCGGAGCAGCCCCGGCAGGTGGACGCTCCCGCCGGGTCCCTGCCGGGGCGGGACGTGGGCGCAGCCCGGCAGAGCTGCTGGGGACGCGCTCGGGGCCCGCACCCGGAGAGTGCCCCGCAGCCCAGGGGGAGTCCTGGGAGGCCGGTTCTGGCCCGGCCGCGGCTCCCCCACCAAGCCCGGCGCTGCGGCGGTGACTCGCCGAGGAGCCGCCTGCAGCCGCCCATAGCGGCGTGACCCGCCATCCCGGTGGCGCAGCAATCTGCTGCTCGGTGTCCGCTCAGGTGCCGCCGCCCTGCGCTCCCGGGGTTCGTGGGGCGGCCCTGGGGGGACTCGCCGCTTTCCCCCGCCCGCCGCAGGGAAAGGGCCGGGCGGGAGTTCTGGCGGCCCCGCCGTGACCAGACCACCTTAAGGGGCGCGGCGGCGGCGGGCGCGGGCCGAGCGCGGCGGGGCCGTCCCGGGGGGTTGTCGCGCTCCCGGGACGGGGCGTTTGTTTGTTAATTGACGCGGGCGCTCCCGCTGCGGCCGCCCTGGTGGAGCCGCGGGAACTCGGCAGGGATTGTGTGATCCGCCGGGAGTCAAACCGCGAGAAGCGGGGCCGGGGGGGAGGGAGCCCGCCCCGGGGTGGGGGGCGGTGCGGGACGCCGGGAGGAAATGGGACGCGTGAGGCCAAACAAGAAACAATCCCGAGTTTGTTGGCTGAGCCAGCAGGCTGCCTTCGCCCGCTCTGGAGCGAAAGCCAGGATTACCTCGTTAGGAGGAAATGGGCGATAATGGGGCAATAAACGCTGTGTCCACGATGTGATCCCGGGGGAGATTCCCAAAGCGCCGCTCCCGACCCGGCGCCCACTCGAGCTCGGACGGGACAGGGAAGCGCTCAGGGGCCGTGGCCGCGCTCCTCTGCTTCGGAACCGGCCCCACTATTGCACGCAGAGTGCTGTTTCTGATCAACATCACAACTTTTCCAAAAGTAGCAAATGGTTGTTTTAGTGCTCATTTATTTAACACTGTACGGAAAAGAGTTAGGAGGTCGAACAATGCCCCGTGAGGAAGAGGTCTGGCAGAGGTCTCAGTGAGTGACAGAGGTTCAAAAAGTCTCCAGTCCTGGACGCGATACTTCATTTTTTAAGTGACTGTTTTGCTGGTGGCTGTTCGAAGCGTACCTTATTTAAAAAATCTCTATAGAATCTAAAACTGAGTAAGTCTAGTCAGGAAAGCCGAGCTCGAGTCTGTAAATTACTGCTCTTGTCAGGATTCCTGTTGCCTATTACAAAGTACCTTTTTACGCTGAACTTAAACTCTACACTACAGAGACAGCAGATGTGAGGTGATGGCTTCCAAAAGCAACACAGATGCTGTAAAATTTCCATTGCTATATTTCAGCGAGGAAGCTCAGGAGACATGCTGAATGCTGCAGTTTAGAATTACACTATAACTCTCCTAGAAATAAGAGAATACCAAGTTTCTCTACAGTACACTTGGCTTCGTTTTTACTGTCATTCATATGCTCTTGTTTTCTTAAAGCGAGGAAAGAGATGCAGCACAAAGATACTGTGTGTCTTGAAGCTGTTCAGTAATGACAGTCGGTAATATGGAACTTTATGGCAATTTAGTAACGACTGCATATCCAAATTCCCTAGTAAGACCATGATAATTTTTAGAATTGTCTTTCAGGTATATAAAACAGCACAGCTGTGAGGAGGCTGCTTTGCTTTATGTGAGTGAAAAGCAGCCTGGATAGCTCAAGACTGTGGAATCACAGCCCATTGTGTGTTCCTCATACTCTGAGACTTCCCTGAAGTCCCTAGAAGTCCTGCGATGAAGGAATCAACGGTCAAGTCTTTAAAATGGTTTTTCTGTTTATTCCAGAAAATACAGCAGCTGCTGTATTTCTGAAAAGCTGAGCTTTGCTATAGCAATACAGAACACTTTAGAGCACTTTTTTATTCCAAGGATTTCAAAACAGATGTCCAGTCATCAAATCATGCAGAAATATAAAGCTGGCAAGAGTGTTACAGATACTACAACGTTTTACAAACTTACAGAATTGACTTATTGTCAATCTAGTCACTTTGTGACTAGTCTTTGTCACTACAAGTCTTTGTTGCCACAGATATTCATGCCTCTTTTATCCAAACATTTAGGTTTGTCACTGGTCCCTCTAATGTAAGCTTAATTTTTATGTGCATTTGAGGCTGTGCATTTGGGATTATGGGGATCCCACCAAACCAGTTAATGGTAATTACAGGGCATTTTAGTTTGAAATAAGTAAATTGGCTCTTGATTTTTTTTAACTGGAAATAAAAATTCCATGTAAAATCTTGGATTTAACATGCTATTTTGTTAATGTAAAAATACAGATGTTTGGTTTATAAGGTTAAAAATTGCTTTTTAATTCCCACTGAATGTTCTCTGGTAAATTTTAGTGTGGCATTGTCTGCATTGGATAGGTCATTCAATGGTGCTTTTATAAAAATGTTTGAAAAGAAGAACTTGGTCCATGGAAATTGTTCAAATAATCTTGTTAAAATGAAGCCTTGACTGAAGGCAGTAATTTCATGGATTAAACCCAGAAGGGCTGTCTAGGCTGATCTCCTTCCTATCACAGGCCACGGAGCTTTATCCAGAGACTGTCTACGCAAATGCTGGTTAGCTACAAGACATGGGGGATTTTGCATGGACAATACATTGAACAACACCATGAAACTAGAAACTGTGGAACTTTTTGAGGAGTTGTTGCATCTCACTGTGTTCAGCTTTCCCCTAAAAAAGTACCAATAAAAAGTAAGAGAAACTGGTTTTTTTCCAGTCCATCCTTTTCTCTGACATGCCACATGCAGTCAGGATCTGAACAACATGATGGGCCATCCAAGTATGGGAAGGAACTAACTGATTTGTACTTCTGCAAGTCTGCAAAGCAGAAAGTACGTGAAACAGGGATGGGAAAGTGCAGCATGCATATGTATCTTATAGTGTGATAGATATTTTCCTTTCACAAAAATAAAAAAAGCCACTCGTCTTCTGAGTCAGCCTGTATTTTTATTGTGATTCATGAGAACTTTTTGTAGACAAGAGCAAGGTACTGCTTACACTTTTCAGGGATGTCAGATTTGATCATGGGTGGGCACAGTACCATGATGGTGCTGTTGGTCAGTGAGGTATGAGAGAGACTTTAGGCAAAAAGGAAATAGGCTGAATAGTTTGCTGCAATAGCAACTGCTGGAGTGCAGTGATAGATAGAGGAGGAGGAGAAACTGCTGGAAGAGGACTTTGCTGTCCCTTTACCATAAAGGACAATGACAAAATGATTGATCCATGCTGTGGTCTGAGGATTGCTCAGCAGTGAAGCTGCAGGTTGCGGCCCTGAATGTGGCTGGAGGATATTTTGCTGAATATTGGAGCAGACCATGATTAGACTTCTTCCTGAGGCTGCTTTGGATGCATGAGCATCACTAGAGAAGCAACATGAGCAGCAGAATAAATGTAAGAAGTCAGTGGGAACAGCAGTTTAGTTTGAGGGCAATAAAAGATGAACTTGTATTGAAGGGCTTTAGCCATGTTCTCCCACACTATGCAGGTGATGATCGGGCTGCGATGTATTTGCTCTCTCAATGTAACTGCTTCATTTCTTGAGGGCTTTTTCCTTAATATAATTTTTTATTTTCCCCCCATTATTTAGGAAGCTGTATTTATAATTCAGCCATGCTACAAACTGTAGTACCTCATGGTACTACATGATAAATCATGTGACTTTTGAAGACAAATTGTCCTTAGTTAAACAGTCTGTTGAATCATTGTCACTATACTTGGAGAATAATAAAAATATCATGCAGTTAAATTGCTAACCATAATAGCTATGTATGGACATAGTGAGTAGTGTTGTCTTCCTCTGATTATCCAAGTAAACATGAATTTACTTTCTAGCAACTGCCAGAACATTAGGATGTAAATTCATTCCTGAATCTCAGGAATGTTTTGTGAATTCAGGCTGGCAAGGAGAGGTCTGGTCCCTGGGTTTAAGATGAGAGTATAAACATGCACCACTCTCTTCTAAAAGTGAAAGCATGTCCAGGCCTCTGGCATGCCAGTGACTTCTGTGGTCACGTTTGCGAATCTCTTTCCATGCTCCATCAAAATCTCATTAATGCTCGTAAATGCTCAAATGGCACATTCACTGTTGTTACTCCCAGCATGGATTGGGAAGTCAGTTTGTTCAGTCTTCAGTTTTGGAGACCTCAGTTTTAACAACCTGGGTATAAACCCCTGCAAAGCTTCTGGTAAATATCGACCTGGCTTACCTGTCTGAGATGTGGCCATCTGGGGTGGGCA